TATGTGTGTCTGGGTGGGGACACCAGCGTTGACGGAGAAATGATGAAGCTATTAAGTTCATTAAAGGGCAGATTTAGTAGTCATGCTTTACTGGGACACAGGCAAACATGCTATAGATGCATAATCTCCCTAAGTCCTGTTTCAATGTATAGGAAAAATGGAAAGGTTCTGTTTGTATTACTGTTTTTGTGCTGTGTTTACTTCTCCAGTGGGAATTATTAGTTCATGTCAAATGACCGATTTACAGTAAGTTGGATGGAACAGTGATTCATCTCTTTGTGAGGTCTGCCGCTGCGCCTCTGCATGTACTGTATACTGTCTGTGTAGCACCAAAAATGTCAAGGTAAAAGTTAAGAAGAGCTGAGAAAGAGAAATCTACACATATCAGTATTCAATATGCAAAGCCAAACTTAAAACATCAGTACGTTGGAATCTCTCTTTCTCCATAAGGTTGATAAGATTTTTGTGTGTGACTAAGTTGTATTGTTTGCTAAAAATGACAATAATAACAAGAAAAGAGGAGATTCTGTGTGCTCATGTTTACCTATAAAACTAATGGAAATGTCACGCATAATAAATGTTCCTCCACAATTGAGCAAAACATATTTTTAAGCTATAGGAAATAAGTATATGCTGTATTATTGAAATGTGCAGCTTCCAATGAAACCGCATATTTCCACCTGTAACCACACATTACCACCTAATACAAAACTTACTTTTGGTTCTTGTAATTCATTTTATCCTGGCTCGCTTATGCAAACATTACTGCTGCTGCTGATAAACCCGTGGCTCTGGAGCAATAGAGCACTGACAAAGACCATATTCAGGCTGAAACAAACTAAACAAAAGCATAATTAATGGTCTCACGGTGGCACCTTTGGACGCACACGCCCCCAAACAAACATGCTGATATTAATAAGCAGTATTTGGCCTATGCTGCGGCTGCCTTATCATTCCTGTCTACATTTCCTGTCAGTGATTTGAATGACGGTGCAGCTCTGAAAGCCTGCTTGGAGCCCATTGACCTGAAACTTCTGCTAAATGAGAGTGTGAGCGAGTGTGCATGTGTGCGCAGGGGAGACAAGAGAGGAAGAGGAGCCAGGGAAATAGTAACACACAGATAAGCTTTTGGCTGCTACAAAGCAAATCGGCATGCAAATCATCATTTCTTTATTTACTCACGGCCTTGTGCGGCGTAGCCAAGATCGTATTGAACGGACAGTTCAGGAACTTGTGCTTGATAAGATCTAGAGGGTGCCTGAGCCACAGGAGGAACAGTCATTTATTGAATTATAGAGACATGAATACAAATTTTGGCTCAAACATGATCAAGTGCCCTCCCCCAGAGAACCTGTTCTCCCTCTAACTCTCTCAAAGCAACACGACAAGATCAAGAGGAAGGAAGCATGGGAACGAAGCCTTCCCAAGTGACACTGAGAAAATCTTCGATCCCATTCCTCCTGGGGCCTTGAGTGTTAGCCAATAGCAAAGCCCACAGTGGATGTGTCCATACTCATAGAACTGTAGGTAACTCAGATTTCATGGCTCAGTGGCGGCGGCACAGGAGCTGAGGCTTCATTCACATGACCAAGGACATCGTCTGCGGAGTCTATGAGTAACCGCAGCAAGTATTTGGAAACAAATGCTGCACACCGGACCCTCGTACCTTGTTCTTTTGGTCACGGTCCACAGAGTTCATCAGTTTGTGACGGCTACACCGAGGATTACATTGCAAAGTGCTTGTTCACATAGAAATCACAGAACATGGAAGGTGTCGTAGCTGGGAATAGTATTAAGGCTGACGGCTAATGCATTAAAGATGTGCAGATAACAGACTATTAAACACTATCTTCAGGGCCAAGAACAGTTTGAGAATGTCTGGTTCAAACTACCTTTTGAAAAGTAATTTCTGGATAAATTAATGCAAAATAGCCAAGTGCTGTGACACTTGAAAGTATGGTGTCACTAGTGGAAGACTCAAAGTTATCCATAATTGAAGCAATAACATTATATTTTGACACAGTTATTGAACCAGCTCAAGTTTGATTTGAAAGGTAATTGTAATTGGAGTTGTCTAATTGATGGTATTAGTGTGGCAACACAGCAACACAACAGCTTAATTGGTGTATACAAATCTACAGTCGTACACACAAATATTTGCAGTCCCAGCATACACAACGTTACCCCCAAAACATGTACTGCTCTCTTTTGTACTTCCTTGTTAAACCAATTCTGAGTCTGGATTTAGGAGTCTATAGCCTCTGTAAATAAAAACTCAGAAGTGGCTGTTTCTGTTGTCCATTTGAGCAAATTGGTCTTAATAGGCCTTGTATAAAAATGAGCTGCTAATCACTTTCTACATTGTTCAGCGACTGCTCCATTCCCTAAATTCTCTGTAGAATGTGGCGAGGTCTAATTAACTCCCTGCACATGCCTCATTTGCATATTTTTGGAAGCCAAAATAATGAACATATTTCTACGGCAACCTGTCCAGACTCCTGATGGTGCTGATGGAGAAGATTCACTAGTGGCAAAATGAAAACCAAAACACAAAATGTGATTATTTTACCAGATTATAAGTATATTTACTGTAGACCTATATTTGAAGGGGTCATAAAAAAAAATATATATATATATATATACCTCTGTTTTGATAGATTGTCAAAATATGTTATTTCTCTCGCTGTGGTTTGGTTTTTGGAAGTAAATTTGAAAGAATATATTCAAAAACATTTGGATGGAACTGAAATAGATCAGGCTTTTCAAGAAAACGACTTGGTAAAGGGCAAAGTGCAAGCATCTTAAATCTTTTTCCATGAACTATTCTTATAAAGTATCAATAAAGTATATAAAGTAAAATATCAAACATCAAGGATTTTTTCATAAGCATTTATTTACTTGTACTGTACTTGGACCAATAAGCCGTACTTGTAAAAAAGCCGCACCACCTACATTTTAAAAGAAAATACATTTTGACCACATATAGGCCGCACCTGAATATAAGCCGCAGGTTTTCATGTCGTAATGCAGCTGAGAGACGACTGTTTTAACTGATCGCAGCATGATTTAATGGCGACGTGTTTAGCACCTTAACCGTTCTATGCCTGTACTCATTAGCTTTAGCCACTAAAACTTGGAGTCAAAATGCTAAGTTCATAAACTCTGCTCTGACAACTCACCACAAACTACACATAGTAGCCACATCTCTATACAAGCCGCAGGGATCAAAGAGATTAGAGTGTGCAAAAAGACAGGAAGTGTGCAAACATGTTAAAGGTTAAAAATAGTAATTAAAAGTAGCGGCTTATATTAAAAAAAAAAACTGTAGATGAAACGTGTCCCTAAAAGACTCGATGTTTGGCCGATCTTTGTTAAATCAGCCTTATGCCTGTGAGTTTACTCATGGTATCAACTCCTATCTGTGCACATAAACACAGAGCTGCTTTCTTATTAAATATTGCCCGACTACTTCATGTATATTCATGATCAATCAACAGTGAGCGCAGCTAAGCACAGCCTATCCGATTTTGTTCCCCGGGATTTGCATAATATAATTGCTATCACAACAAGTTCTCAATCATTGCATCATGGAGATATAGTCTACCACACCTTTTTTTTTTCTTTCTTAAAATTAGGCTCAAAAACTCCCCCTGCACCTTTCACTTTTTCCCATTCCACATACCTCATATCAGTGCGTCCTCTGGCTAAAAGCTGAATTATTTTTCCTTCCATGGCGCGTACGCTTGTGTGTCCCTGTGTAATTGCTTGTTAAGGCGCTTCAAAAACAGGTGCAGTTTGTGTGAATGACTTCTCTGTCTTGGAAGTAGCGCGGACCTGCCAAGTGCCGGGCCCGTGTGGATAATGAGCATGACGTCGGCCATCTTGTCTGACAGCCGTCTTCCTGAATCGCACCTAAGCAAACATACATGTGGCGGCGCGGCGGTGAGAGAGGCCCCCATAGAAACCGGCTGCTTATTCACCTGCTTTGATGAATGTGTACAAGCAAATAGCCTCACAAACAACATCAGTGAAAAGGCCAGCGCCCGCTCGGGGATGGACAACGTTGCATTTTTCTCCAGACCAAGCTGAAAAAAAACGGTGCTGATTAATGATGTGTTCAGGGAGAAATGTGGGTAAACTGGAAAATAAGTAGTGGCTTTGTACAAATGCTTAGTTGTAAGAGAGACGCTCACAACTCATGTAATATAATAATAATAATAATGCAACAAATGTATACGAATGGATGCTTTAGAAAACACATAGAAACTAATGGAAAAAATGGGAAAAATTAGGGAAAATTGAGGAAAAGCAAACACAGTTGAAACAGGTGGATTTCATGGAATAAAATTATTGGATTTTATATAAAAATATAACTAAAAACAACAGAAAACATTACCTTTAAAGTACCTTTCTGGGAACACTGGTAGGGTCTTAAATGACTCATGAGACTTTGTTATTTCATTTTTTGTGTTTTCCTCGTGAGGTTTTTTGTGTGAGCCTTGAGTCCGGAATAAAGATTATAATTATTTTTATTATAAATATGATTTTCTTGTTGAATAAAAACAAGAAAAACACCAATATTTAGAAAACAAAACTCTAAAACACCTGCGGTTGTTGACAGATTCATATAAAACGTTGTGTCCCAAATCAAATACACAATTTATTATAGCCACAGCATTCTTATTAATGAAATAGGAATAGTTTTCCCCACGGTTTGATCGTACAGGACTCAGCACAATAGACGTTTATCGCTGGGGTTTCCTCTGCTGCAGCCTTGTCTCATTGTGGATTCGCTTGTTTAAAAAATGGTGAAATTCATTTCTCACACAGATGGGAACAGGCAAGGCTGATTTCATTAAAATAGCCCATCTGCTGGTGCTGGAGAGAGAGGGGAAAAACAAACAAGAGTGAACCAAACAAAACAGTTCTCCTGCTCTGGACCCTGCCCCCCCCCCACTCTGAGGACGTGTGAGGGGACCGCAGACGGCAATAATACCAACATGAAAAAGAAAAAGGCGCAGGTTTTCAACGTGTGGGACAGGTACAGATTGTGGGACCTAAACGGCTTTGTACAAACAGCCAAAAGATCATCTAAAAATGCTTGAATTAAGGAGAATTTATGATTTTGTTTATAATGCATTGGTTTTACACTGTGCTTTTCAGGACACTCAAAGACGCTTTACACACACTTACACACACACACACACACACTCTAAGTAATGCGGGTGAAGTGTCTTCAGCCCCCCCACTGTGGCACCTGGTGTTCCCAGAGGTCTCCCATCACAGTGCTAACCAGGCCCTGCCCAACACAGCTTCAGAGGTCTGATAGGATCTGGCTTTTGAGTGCAAGTATGACCACGTATTCAGCACATAGCCAATTCAAACCAGTGTATTTCAATGTGAATACTGTACATTGTATAGCCCTACATCACAACAGTAGTTATCTCAGAGGACTTCACAAAACCGTTGAAATCGCCAACACAGAATCAACATTTAAGAGACAAAAGATATAGAACACATAAGTATTGGTTCATAGGGGTTGGACCAATATCCATGAGTGCTGATAAATGTCCTGGATCATCACCACAGTCCTTCTTCTTAGACCATATAGCCCTAAATCACACCAGCAGTCGTGTTGGAGGACTTCACGAAGTTGTCGATTCCTCAACAACATCAGTTCGAAGACAGGAAATGCAATGATAACAAAAACATTGGAGCCATTGGTCTATAGGGCTTAAGATGACCAATGTCCATAAATGTAAATGAATGCTCATTAACGTGCAGAATATTTGCATTGTCTTTAAAGGAGACGTCCATCCATCCATACATCAATTTTCTACCCTTTAATCCATTTCTGGGTCAGGGAGGTGGCAATCAGAGATGCCACCCAAGTCTCATAGCACCAGCCCCTCACTGACCCTCTGCAGGTGGTGAGTCCACAGGAGGATAAAGGAGACGTATTATGCATCATTCTTGTCCACTAAAAATGATACTGACACTAGTTACTTTTAAAAATCTTGTAAAAAAAAATCTGAAAATACTGTATAAGGTGAAGTGTGAAGAGTACCTCGAAGTAAGTGCGATATTTGTGTAAAAAGACAAAATCAAGTGTGAATTCATAGGACTGAGACTAACAGACAAAAGGGGTGGAGTTTTGTTTGTGCCTGATATTAGTGTGGTTGGATCAAAAAACTCCAGGTCTGCTTTTCATGTCGTTGAAACAATGTAACTTAAATAGTCAAAATACACTAAATTACAGATTTGGTATTTTTAAAGCACTTGCTCTTTAAAGGACAAGCATATCATGTCAATAGCTTTCGAGCTCCTGTGATCGGGGCGGGGATTATGTGATGTTAGGATTTGCTTTAAAGTCGGATTTAAACCAAATTCAAACCAGCACAGTCTGAAATTGACATGACACAGACCAACAGCAGCACACGGAGCAGAGAAAAAGAACAAAAACGCCCATGGAATATTTATACACTGTAAAAAAGAAAAAGTTGGTTCAACTCAAAATTTCAAAGCAACCAGCTGCGAAGGATTTTTGAGTTGAAGGCATTAACTTAATTCTTCACGTTTTGAAGAACTACACTTATTAAGTTGTGTCAGCAAAGTTTTCCAAGTTCTGCCAACTAAGTTTTTAAATTCAAGTTACTGGAAATTTCAAGTCTGTAAAAACTTACTTTTTAAGTTCAGATTACTGTCCCCTACAATAACTTACTATTGTGAGTTTAAATTAGCCCCCACATTAAACCATCATGATGTTTATTTATATAGCGCATTTTACAGACCAAGGTCACTTGGGGAGGGGAAACCGGAGCACCCGGAGGAAACCTATGCAGACACAGAGAACATGCAAATTCCACTCAGAAAGGCCCTGTTCCGACCGGGATTCGAACCCAGGACCTTTGTGTCAAGAAGCGAGAGTGTTGTCCACTCCGCCACCGTGCGGCACATACTGTGAACCCGATTAGTGGGCAAAACTAATGTTTCTAAGACTGACCCAGAGAATATACAGGGCTACTTTGGCTTGGCCCTGTCGATTACGGTTGGTAAAAATAAATACAATGATTTTTTGGTCATATTAGTTTTTTCTAAATGTTGAATGCAGCTGGTTGCCATGACAAATATTTAAATGAGCAAACGCAGATAAGTTGACCTCACTCTAGCTCGGTGAACTGTAAAAACGACAACTCAAAATTGTTCACCGTACTCAGATTTTTGCATTCACTGACAATAAAATTACCAGTTGGAACTGGAACTGTCTGTTGTGAGCCACTTGAAATCACTTTCAGAAGTTCACTACAACTTCAAAGTAAAATCAACTTAATATATCAAATAAGATGAACTTTTCATCAGAAACTTCTGAAAGTGAGTTCAAGTGGCTCACAGCAGACAGTTGCAGTTCCAACTGGCAATTTTATTGTCAGTGAATGCAAAAATCTTAGTAAGGTGAACAATTTTGAGTTGTATTTTTTACAGTGTACGGTCCACAGTTAAAACTTAAACACGCAGGGAAACCAAAAGTCGGGATAACTTATTTTCTATTCATACCATAATTTTGTGAGTGACCGCTAACACTCTTTACTAAGCGGCTAAGTTGCAAACATGTGTTGGCTTTTCCACTCATCAGAGGTGGACAATTGGCTTTCTCAGTTGGATTTGAATGTCATTGGGTGTAGTGGTCCTTTTGGCACCCCCCCTTCACTGCTTCCCAATTAGCTCTGCTTTGTTAGCATCAATAATACTATTCTCAGTTCAACAGTCAGTGTGGACCTGCCCAAAATAGTGCTACATTTCTCCATGTCACTCACTCCAGTGAAAGTTCTGGGCCCTGATCTATTTTTAGTAACATGCTGCTGTGCTATTATACTGCTGTGTTATTGGACTTTTTGGAATACCTTGTTTCGATTTTCATATTGGGGTTTCCTCTGTACTCTCTGGCAGTCCAAAAAAATCACATGTTTTGTCTTTGATTGAACATACTATCCCTGTTTATCTCCAGTTTGATCCTGGTTTAGTCCACATTAAAACAGACAGAAGTTTCCATTAGATGTAAGAAACATAAACATCGTTATTGGAGGAGGCCAAACAAAGTGCTACTTTCTCTAAGTAAGGGGGAGTTTGAAAATACATGTTCAGCTGTTTTGGGCTGGGTCCAGCACAATCCTCATCTCCAGAGTGGATAATCTGAAACATATTTATTCTTCTGCAAATAGGAGTAGACTCAAACACTGGAGTGATGTATTGGGTCCAGTCTGTGAAATATGAGCCAGTGAATCCATTCAACAAAATGGATTAATTTCCAATTACTCTGAAAACAACAAGTTTTCACCAAATATAACGCAGACTTTCCGGCTTCATCTATCTGCCGCACACAATCCATGTTATTACCAGAGATCCTTCTATATACTGAGATATTATATTACAGAAAAGAATGAGATTAAGTCAAAATGGCAAAATTGTTACAGAGATACAAAACATGAAGACAAATATTACACAACACATCAAATAATCTTGCACTGGTTCTTCACAGACAGCGGCTGTCTGCATTACTACCATTTAAAACCATTTACTGTCATTGAGCTAAATACAAACACAGGAGAAGTGGGTAGTGGTGAATATGTAGGTAAGTAATCTTTATTTATATGGTACTTTTCAAAGACCAGAATTACAAAACGCTTAATTGTTGTTGCAGTAGTAGCAGTTCTTACACAGAAGACGTGTGGAGTGGTAGTCGTAGTAATAGTAATAGTAATAATAGTTCTTATACAGGAGAAATGTGTAGTCCTATAAATATTAGTAGTTTGAGTGGAGTTTGCTTGGTTTCTGCGTGTCTGCGTAGGTTTCCTCCGGGTGCTCCGGTGTCCCTATACCTCTAAGAAACATGTACAAAATCCTACAGCTCCGGCAATCCTGACCAAGTCGAGCATAAACATCTGGAGATGGGTCCCGGTGCTGTATCACGCCGACCACTGCTCTTGGCGGAGGCCCTTGCTGCAATGAAGGACGGGTAGTAGTAGCAGCATCAGTAGAAGTAGTAGCAGTAGTAGTAGTAGTAGCAGTAGCAGCAGCAGTAGTAGCAGTAGCAGCAGCAGTAGTAGTAGTAGCAGCAGTAGCAGTAGCAGCAGCAGTAGTAGTAGTAGCAGCAGCAGTAGCAGTAGCAGCAGCAGTAGTAGTAGTAGTAGTAGTAGTAGTAGTAGTAGCAGCAGTAGTAGCATCAGTAGTAGTAGTAGCAGTAGCAGCAGCAGTAGTAGTAGCAGCAGTAGTAGTAGTAGCAGCAGTAGCAGCAGTAGTAGTAGTAGCAGCAGTAGTAGTAGTAGCAGCAGTAGCAGCATCAGTAGTAGTAGTAGCAGCAGTAGCAGCATCAGTAGTAGTAGCAGCAGTAGCAGTAGTAGCAGCAGTAGTAGTAGCAACAGTAGTAGTAGCAGCATCAGTAGTAGTAGTAGCAGCAGTAGTAGTAGCAGCATCAGTAGTAGTAGTAGCAGCAGTAGCAGTAGCTGAATCAGTAGTAGTAGTAGCAGCAGTAGCAGCATCAGTAGTAGTAGCAGCAGTAGCAGTAGTAGCAGCAGTAGTAGTAGCAACAGTAGTAGTAGCAGCAGTAGTAGTAGTAGTAGCAGCAGTAAGGCAAGGCAAGGCAAGTTTATTTATATAGCACAATTCATACACAAGGCAATTCAAAGTGCTGAACAAAACAAGAAAGCATTAAAATCATAAATAATCAAAGAACATTAAAAAGAAAGATACACACATTAAATCCCTCAGTTGTATGCACAGCTAAACAGAACTGTCTTTAACCTGGTTTTAAACATTGTCATTGAGGAGGCCTGTGTCACATCTTCAGGAAGACTGTTCCAGATTTTAGCAGCATGAATCTGAAAAGCAGCCTCCCCATTAGGGCTGGGACAACGCGTCGACGTAATCGGTGACGTCGACGCAAAAAATACACCGACGTATAATATGCGCGTCGGTGCGTCACACACAAAACAAAGATGGCGGCGAGCGGTAGCAATGCAAGTGCCGTGTTAGAGAAGTGCAAGCTGGTGTAACGCTGAGATACACTGCCTTGAAGAGATGCACAGCCTCAGCTGTTTATCATGTAATGCAAACCTGCGCATGCGCGTCTCACGGCAGCCGAAGCAAACCAAGATGGCGGACCGTGAATTTCTTTAAAAGTTAAAATACCAACGAATTCAGACACGAATGTCACTTTTAATGCAATTTGAGGCGATATGTTGATGGTTCCGTTTTGTCACATGTGGGTTTTAAGAGTCAAAGTTTCGTGCAAAGTTTAGTTTAAGCAGTCAACTGCGCCTGTGAAACCACAAAGCTAATGTTTTCATAGCAGTCCGCAGCTGCTGACGTGGGCTGATGACGCGTCCTGTGGCCACTCTACACTCTTATGGTGCGTTCAGACCAAACGCGATTTCTGCGGCCAAATCGCGTCTATCGCGCGGCTTGAGCCGCTTGTGACAAATTGTGGCAGCCGCTGTCACAGAGAAACTTGGCCGCGCGGCCAGGACACTAGAGGGCAGCCGCTGTCACAGAGAAACTTGGCCGCGCGGCCAGGACACTAGAGGGCAGCCGCTGTCACAGAGCGTTGAGAGCGTTTAGGGGCGGGGCTTGTCTCTTTTGCCTGTAGCTTCCCAAAATGGATGTCAGCGAAGGAGTTGCTTTATCTGATAAATAAAGCCAGACACGTCGTCAAAGGGCGAATCGACGACGTGTCTGGATTCATCAGATAGTCCGTAGACGGTTGGAGTTTGGTGAGTTTCACCATTTGCTCCGGGAGCTGCGCTCGGATGAGGGTCGCTTTCAGCGGTACTTTCGTCTCTCCCTGGCCCAGTTTGACGACCTACTGACCCGCATTGGCGCTAGGATCTCCTACCAGGACACCAACTACAGGCGCTCTATTCCAGCTGAAGAGCGCCTGTCCATCTGTCTGCGGTTAGTGTTTTTTACCCCATTCAGAATTCCTAAATACTTACAAAGTGTGTCATTTTTCAATCACAATCCACAATGTAATTGCTCAGAAAACAGTATTATGCAACAATATGGTGTCTATGATTACTGTCTATGATGTTTACTGTCTACTAGTTTAACGTATTTTATGCTACACAAGTTTTGTCACGTGATTTTTATGAATGTAATTGTGATAAATATGTTCATATCATTTTGTAATTGCAGGTTTCTTGCCACTGGGGACTCCTACAGGACCATTGCGGGGAGCTTCAGAGCGGGCATATCCACCGTCTCCATGCTCATCCCAGATGTGGTGGCAGCCATCTGGGACTTCTAGGTAATGACTGCCAGACTCCACTGCGACTCCACTCCAACTTCAGGTTAATCATATGCACATTCAAGCTTTTCCATAATTACAAGGTTGTTAAAACAGTAAAAGGTGAAATGAATAAAAAATACTGTCAACTACTGTATCGCTCTTTAAGTGTTTGTTATTCCATCTTCTATAAAACCCAGTCAGCTCTTATAAAAGTAAATGTACAAATATAGAATAGCATTTTCTGTCAATATTATATGAAAGGTAGTAATGGTTGGCTTGAAGTAGAACACATGAGGTTTGAAAAATATTTTCTTTATAAAAAAAGGAACAAACAATGAAAAATAAATGAAATGTACATATAAACAAATTAAAAGGAGCTTGCTTGGAGGAGGTGCGGTGGAAGAGGAAAGGGACACATGTCTGTTTCCTCCCCTGCAAAAGGTGTCACCTTAGGTAAAAAAAACTGTACTGGCCAATGGTTTCAAATTAAGCAGAACGGTGCTGCTTTCATATAAAAGTTGGTACATTTTGAATTTCACAAATTCTTTTGACTCTGGTGCCACCCTTTGCAGGAGAGGAAAGAGAGAGAGCAGGAACTGATGTTCTTCTGAGTAGTCGGGCGGTCCGGCTGCTTTGGTCCGTAGAGTCTCCAGCAGCTCCCGCTCCCACTCTGAAGGCCCACCAAGGAAGAGGGCTCGGAAGAGGCCCACGTCCGTAGAGCCGCCAACAAAGAACACAGGGCAATCACAGTGTTAAAAAGTGGAACATGTATTTCAAAAAAGCAAAATGAAGAGAGCATATAATATCTGTATTAAAGCCAGAGTGTGTAGACATAGTTAAACACATGTAAAACACTTTTAAGTTGTGTGTTTGTGTTACAATTAACTTGAACATTGCAGTTATCAATGAAATTACTCACACATGCACAAATTTCGACAGTTACAAACTAATATCTCTGAAGTGTATTTCGCAATGAAATTTGAAATTGGCTGTTAAAAAAGTAATACTCTATTGTCTGCATTAAACAGGATAGCTGCCATCTTGTGGCAACCATTGCATGTATTTGTTCAGTACTTTTATAGCATAAGGTATTTCAGTAGTATGTTTTTATCAAAGAAAGAGGGAAGATGTGTTGTATCAGACCAAAGCTTCTTTCCACCTGTAGTGCCTTGACATCTTGTCGTTTCTCTGTAAATTTGTCGTCTACACTGATGTAACAGCCCTTGGGTAATTTTGGCATATTATGCAGTAACATTTTGTTTATATGAACAGTCCTGTAATAAGAATAAAAATAAAACAATGATTAAAAAAAGCCACACCTGTAGGTGCAGAAGCAGGGGAAGGTCCAGCCCTCACAGAAGAAGAACCGGCTGAGGAAGCAGCAGCAGCAGCAGCAGCAGGCAGCTCAGGCCAAGATGTCTCACCTTGTGTGGTGGTGGCAGTATCTGTGCCAGAAGAAAACAAGAAATACAATTATTTCATATCATGTGTACATTGCGCTTATGACATTTATATGTACATAATAATGTACATTATTATGTACATTTAAATGATTTGTTCATATAAAAGGGAAAAGTGAAATTTAACACAACACATGATCAAGATCTATCCTGGTTTGAAAATAGCCAATGCCTATTTTCACCTGGCCATGATGTTAAGAAAGCATTAAAAGAAATGCATACACAGAAAGCAATATAAATGTAAAAGTCAGCAAAATGTGGGTAATAGAAAGGAAAGAAATGTATTTTTTCCAACTGTTCGAGGTCTCCGTTTGCTGCATGACACCGACCTTCAGCACCTCATATGTGTCCCTCAGATTCTTCCACCGCTTTTTGCAAACTTCCACTGAATAAACACATCAACTCGTAAGCAGGAAAGTAGTAGTTTTTTTCGCGGGGAAATATTTACAACATTGAAAAGTTAAAATAACTTACCCGAGACACCAACCACCTCGCTAACCCTCCTCCAAGCAAGCTCCTTTTTATTTCGGTCCCGGTAGCTGTGGTCTGCAGTGTTATATAGCTCAGAATGAGCACCGACCTGAGCAATTGACGTGTCCTCCATAGCTGTCATCTACCAGTGTTTTTCCGGTAGTGAAATGCGTCACTACGTCACTGGAGGAGAAAGCTCCTGATTGGTCGGCACACGCGAATTCTCCCAAAAAGTTCAACATTGTTCAACTCTAGCGGCGGCCGCGTTGGAGGCACGAATCGCGCGAAACGCGCGTCAAAACGCTTGACATCTCAAAACACGCCGCGCGAATCGCGCGAAACGCTCGAATTCGCGCCGCTCTGGCCGCGCGAATCGCGCCGCGTGATCTCTCGCCGCTCCTTGGCGCGCGTCCCCCATGTTGTGTCAATGTAGACCCGCCGCTTTGGCCGCAGAAATCGCGTTTGGTCTGAACGCACCATTATGTAGCCATGACAGGCTGATGGCTCCCACTGTTTTTGCTGGAAAAGCACTCTTTGTTTAGCTTAAAGCCTTCAAGTTTACATTGGTTACTGTTTTCTTTTAGTTGCTCTACACAAGTACAGTAGGTCCCATTCCGTTTTGTCGCCTTTCACGCGTGAATCACACGTGAGTCTCGTGTGATTCACGCGTCTTTTATTTTCCCCCCTCCCAGTGATGCTGCAATGACCAAAACAACCACCAGGTGGCACTTGTGAGCAGGGTTACATTGGCGAGTTTCTGCCCCGCACACAATGACAATCTGTCATTGATCCATGCTCCCAGCAGACTCGAACGAACACGAAGTGGAACGTGAAGTTTAATGTAAGTAACTTTTCAATTGTTTTTCATGTGACAGTATATTCATTATTGTCTTTGGGTTGTGTTGCATTGTACACATGTCGTCATTGCGTCACATCAGCGTCGGCTAACATTATATTTTTAGATGATAGGTATTTTTTCTCCTGCGTCAAAATGGAACTGAGAGATATTCAACTTTTCGTCACATGAAACAAGGCATAGCCTATGCTATGTTATCTAACGCATGGGTTTAAAACTCAATTGAATATTAGTTTAGCGTTAATCGGACTAATTTCCATCCGCGGGAAATAAGGCACATGGTGTTTGCTAGCTTAGTTAAACAAGTTAACCATTTGAAAATAACTAAATAATTTATTTTCTCATTTTCCTTGAAGTAACACAAGGCTACGCAATGTAAGCAAATAAGTATAATACAGCTCGGAAACTTGTGTTGAAACAATCGCGTCAAATACTACAGTTCCCATCATGCTTTTGCTTTGTCACGTGTCCTCCTCAAACAACAACAAGCACAGGCATGCCTTTATTTAGCAAAGAGTTTGGTCTCGTTTCTCAAACGTAAATCTGGGCTGTGTACAGAGGACTGCGTGCTTCGGTATGTACAAACGACGCTGCGCGTGATTTGATTCATAGCGAGGAGAGACCAGACAGAGAGACCAGAGAGAGAGACCAGAGAGAGACCAGAGAGAGACCAGAGAGAGACCAGAGAGAGACCAGAGAGGGAGACCAGAGAGAGACCAGAGGGAGAGACCAGAGAGAGAGGCCAGAGAGAGACCAGAGAGAGACCAGAGAGAGAGACCAGAGAGAGAGACCAGAGAGAGAGACCAGAGAGTGTGTCTCTGTTGTGCTGATGGTTCTTAGAGCTAACCTGTCTCTGTGTGTTGCAGGTTCTGAGTCTTGCAGCAGTGTGGGCTCCTCGTCCAGCTCTCTGTCCCGCCCTCTCCCCCCCGCCCCCCCCTCCTCCCGCCCGGCCCTCCCCCTCACCCCTGCCCCCCCTCACCACGAGCTGATCAAAGCCGCCCCGTCTCCGTCCGTCTGTGAAACCCCAAACTACTACATCGTTCCACTGGAGGCGTCTGGGATCCCGGCGGGCAGCGTCCTGGTCAACGCACACACCGGTGAGGATCCAGGACGTCACACCAAAAATGCACTTTTTTTATATAACACATATTTTAAAACAAGTTCCCTAAGTCAGAGACAAAGTGAAATGTTCATATATACAAGCCTGATAATAATAATGCATTGGTTTTATACAGAAGCCATCAGCCCCTCCCACCTCCACCAACCATTCACACACCAGTGTCTTGCCTAAGGACACAACCACAGTTTGCTGCCCCACTGTGGCACCCATCACAGCACTAACCAGGCCCTGCCCTGCTTAGCTTCAGAGGTCTAACTGATGGATAGAAGCACACATGTTTCCACAGCAGAGAAATGCCTGAGAGAGAAGAGAATATATATATATATATATATATATATATATATATATATATATATATATATATATATATATGTATATATACATACATACACATATACACATATATATGGAAGCCCGTTTCCGCCATGTAAAAAAAAAAAAAAGCCTACTGAAAGTCAAAATTTTGACTTTAAAAGTCAAAATTTTGACTTTAAAAGTCAAAATTTCGACTTTAAAAGTCAAAATTTCGACTTTAAAAGTCAAAATTTTGACTTTAAAAGTCAAAATTACGAGTTTTCAACTGCGCATGTGCAGTTGTTGCCGTGTATGTATTGCTTGTCTGGAATGTCTCTGGACATCCTTTGCCTGCAAGTTGGCAGGTTATGTTGAAGATATTGGTGATTTCAGGTCAGTACACTTAGAAATTGTTTTTAAAAGTCATCATTTCGAATTACTAGTCAAAATTGTGAGTTTTACGCATACGTCGCCCCCTTTAATCGATAGGGGGCAGCATTACGCGTTCAATCGCAGAAGAAGAAGTATATCCTGTTTATAATGATAAACATGGCTCAGGAGTTGGTTCGGAAGTACTTTGGAAATGGATTTACAACAAATGAAATACTTAATCTACTTGAACATTCCAATGGAGTCAAGTTAAGTAAACGGACTGTTGAGCGGATTTTAAACAAGAGCGGCCTGTGGAGGCGTAAAAAATAAAATGGATGTGGCTGAAGTGGCCACATTTATTGAGAATCAACTGGCAACATCTGGTCAGTACCATGGATATCGATGGATGCACCAAAAATGCTGGCTGCACAACATTGTGATTGATAGAGAGACTGTTCGTATCTTAATGCGGTTACTGGACAGTGAAGGAGTTGATCTCCGCTCAAGAAATCGACTACGGAGGCGGGTGTACCACAGTCGCGGGCCAAATTTTGTCTGGCACATCGATGGCTATGACAAAATAAAACCTTTTGGAATTGCGATCAGCGGGTGCATCGATGGATTTTCCAGAAAAATGCTATGGCTTGAAGCCTACAAAACAAACAGTGACCCGAAAATTATTGCTGGCTACTATATGGGTGCAGTGGTCACTGCAGGTGGTTGTCCAGCCCGAGTCAGGCTTGACATGGGAACGGAGAATGGCCATATCGCAGAATTTCAAAGTTTTTTGCATTATCCCGCGAACCAAGTGACAGACCCCGTAACATTCGGTCCAAGCACAGGGAACCAACGAATTGAACGTTGGTGGCTCACCCTTCGTAGTGAGTGTGTTCAGTTTTGGATTGATCTTTTTGACAAACTTAGGGAAGATGGACACTTTTCAGACAACTTTTTGGATAAGTCATTGATCCAATTCTGTTTTATGGCATTAATACAGGTAGGCATTTGTTAGTTTAGGAAAGTTAATCTTGTCTTATTTGTAGAAATAAAGTATTTGGTTCTTCTATACCAGACATGTTAATACCGGGACGTGTCTCTTCAGCTGCTGTTTCCAGACGCTGTCAGCCCAGGGTTGGGTTGACTGCCTGCGTCTGGAACAGCTGACTTTTCAATGTAATAACATCGCTATCCTAACCTGGTGTAGAAGAACCAAATACTTATATATTTAATGTTAATATTTGATATATGAATTAACGCTACAATTACCCAACAATTGTTCTTTATCTATTGGTCACAGGGAAGAACAGTGTGCACTTACATTTGAATGTACTAATCTTGTGTTTATTTTAGGATGAACTTAATGAAATTGCTCTGACATGGAATAACCACCGCGTCCGTCAAGTGAATAATTCAAGATCCCCCCATGGACGTCCTTCCATTTTGTACAGTGTTCCTCACCTGTATGGGGGTCGAGATTATTTACACCCTGTACCTCTGGAGAAAGTGTCACTCTGCCTTGAAGAATGCTCCTTCAAAGACTTCCCATGTGATGAAGATGTCTTCAAAATTTGTGTGGACTTAATGTCAGAGCATAATTTAAATTTCTCAAATGATGTGTATGACACACTTGATACCTATATTTGTTTAAGAGAGCTCATCTATGCTGAGTTACAGCAGTAAAACTTGCAGTGTACTTAAGCATTGACCTACAATTAAATGTGGTACATTCATGGTATATTCTTTTGTTCTATGCACATAGAATCTGAATTTGTAGAAAATATACAATTTAGAATAACACTTAAATCAGATGAGAGCAAATCCAAACAGAAGTACTATGTTTTTTATTCATAGTTTTCCAGTTTATTTGAAATTGCATAGCCATATCTTAACAAGATAGCTTTGTGAACTGGATGAATACAAATCTGGTTAAGTGACATTCAAATGGACAATAGAATGTGGGTCACTAATTCTCAAAATGTTATGTGCTAACAGCAAGTCCAACTGCTTATTTGAATTGTTTCACCCTTACAAAAGGTACTGCTTCAAGTGAACTGTTTCTGAACCAACATTCAAAATAATGAAAAGTAAAAGAATGAAGTTTTTAAAAAGCAACATTACATTAAAACACAATCAAATAGTTGAAACATCTTACGATCTTGTGATAACTGCAAAACAGAACAGACCGTTTTTAGGGTTATAGGAGACAAACTATGCAATGTCCATAACCCAGATATTGCTCTCCAATACACAGTTCATTTCATAGCGAAAATCAGGGTAACTGTCATAAGCAACTGACAGCTCTAAATAACAACCACAGGTATGGGCAACAGGTCTCCTCTGAAAGCCTTTGATCTCTGTAAATGACACAGTAATATTCTTTCCAGTGAACACATCAGACCCTGTGCAAAACCTGAGAAAACTGGACAGACGCACTGGATCACATTCACGAAGATAAGCACTCACATATTTCATAATTTGTTTTTCTGTGGCTTTTGGGTCTGTTGGGTAAGTCAGGGAATTTATTATTTTGCGTGAGGTTGGCAGTAAGGTATCATAGGCAGCTGAAATGCCCTTCAGCTCTGACTTCATACCGTGAAGTACATTTTTCCACTGCTCTATTATAAAAGCAGGCTCTTGAATTAGTTTTTGGTAAGCAAGTTCGAGTAATATTTGTTGTATGTTGTCTTCTGTTGGTTGCCTGCGGCAGTTATGCATGTCAAGAACTTCCACCAATTCCTCCAAATCGACATTTGCAAAATCTGAACAGCATGACTGAAACATCACTCGCTCTGACTGCGGCAAGTACTTTAAAAATGTGTTCAACAGATCGCTCTGAACGACACCAAGGATGGCTTGCTCAAGAATAACAGGAGCAAGTCTGACAGGAAGGTACTTCTCTTTTTTCCAGCCAAAAGCAAGGATCCGACCAACACTCTCCCATTCCTTGTTACGAAAGTCATGGCGTATGAATGGCACTTTGAAGTCAGTCCCCATGGTACACTGCTCATAGAAGTCATTCCAAAATTCGGACAACACATCCCTTAAAACACCACCATCATCAAATGCTTTTTCTAGTTTCCCATCTGGTAGAATAACTTTAAAGCGAATGTCTTTATTAATGACATCTTCATCAGCAAACACTTGAATTAGCTCTTTTAGAACCTGGCCTCGATGCACCGCAACAATAAATTTCACACTTTCAGGAATGTTCAGAACAGAGGGCAAGGATTCATCCTCATTTAGGGGTAAAGTATCATCAAGATGAACTTGGTGTTCAGTTTCTAAAGAGCCATCATTGCGAAAAGTGACAATACCACTGTCCTCCAAGTCAATCAGATTAACTGTTTGTTCTTGTTCACCAGCATTTTCCTCTCTGCTATCAACATAGATTACGTCAGAGGTATTTGTTGGTTGTGGCTGCATATTGGCATGAATGATCATCTCAGAACCTGTGCTTTGGTCCTTAAGATCCATGCCTGTTTGGGTCTGCTTCTTTTTGGTTTTCAAGTAAAACCGCAGTACAGGCAATTTGGTTCTTTCATACAGGTCTTCAACTGTAACATCATCAGGCAAAGTATGTTCCTGAAAATCTGTTAAATCAGTTTCAAAATCGGAAATATTCCCTTCTGCATTTTCACCCTCAGGGAAAAACAGCTGTAGTGCCTTTTCTATTAAGTCTTTCTTTTTGCTCGTTTTGGGCACACTCTCCTTTCGTGTTCCACCTCCCTTTTTTGTACGTATCTGTACAAATGATTGCTCTTTCTCTCTATAATTTAGCCAACCTAGCTCAATTTTTCTGCTTTCTTTTCTATTGTTGCTTCGACCTTGCTGCTGTTTTGCATCCACATGTTCTTTTATGTTCTTCTTCATCTTTCCTTTGAGTCTCTCAAAAAGTTTGGACCTGCGACTACTGGGATCTTGTTCTTGACGACGACAGTATCCAAACACAGCAACACGATCGCCATATGATGGTAGATACTGTTGAAGTTCTTCATCAGACATGAGCTTTATTGCACTCTGGTCAATCTAGAATAAAACAGAAAAGAATATGCATTTCTCTTTCAGGTAATGTTTGATTGATTTGTATTATAATAGAATATTTTTCCAACCTTCTCTTGCTCCATTTGGAGTATTGTCTCTTCAGACACATGTCTTGATCTTAAAAAATCGCAGAGCTCTTCCATCTCTTGGTCTTTCCACACTTATAGTGGAAAATTGGTAGAATGAAAGTATACGCCTACTGGAGCACAAAATCCAAATTAATATATATTATTTTGCTAGACGTTTGTCCAGTAATGGAAACTTGCAAAGATATTTAAAAATAGCCAATTTACATCTGGAACCAAAGCCCAATATATAAAATAATACAATAGATACTATTAATCCATAAGATAAATCACTACGATTGTTTGTAAATATGTAGTAAGGTAGTGTGGGTAAACAAACTTCCTCCGACTTGAAATCGGATACCTGTACAAACGTTCCCACCCCACGTACGTTCCCACCTTCCCATAAATTATAACACAGTGGATGAACTATATAACTGCAAGTAAAACAGCTCACGGTTCACACATAAAGACTGGGGACAAGCTGTTCATTTGTTGTTGTTATTCTAAAATAAAGTGTACATGAAATGAATATAGACGTACTGCGCTGTTAGCTAGCGTTACTTTTACAAATGATAGCTCCGCAAATGTAAACACAGATGTATGATTTTTTTATGCATTATTCATCTTAAATATTAAATCCCACACATGAACTACAACAACTTAGAAATGTACTGACCTGAAAGCTGCAACACAACCTGCTAACTTGCAGGCAAAGGATGCCCAGAGACCATTCCGTACGCGGCAACAACTGCACATGCGCAGTTGAAAACTCGTAATTTTGACTTTTAAAGTCAAAATTTTGACTTTTAAAGTCGAAATTTTGACTTTTAAAAGTCGAAATTTTGACTTTTAAAGTCGAAATTTTGACTTTTAAAAGTCGAAATTTTGACTTTTAAAGTCGAAATTTTGACTTTTAAAGTCGAAATTTTGACTTTCTGTAGGCTTTTTTTTTTTTTTTACATGGCGGAAACGGGCTTCCATACATATACAAATATACACATATATATATATATTCTTATTCTTGTTTCTCAGGGAAGCCGTTCTTTCATCCCGACGGCAGCGCGGTGGTCTATAACCCGACTACAATCACAGCTAACGTCGGAAGGAGCGCTCCGCAGAAGAATCCTCAACAGCCAATCCAAAGCACGGGCCAAACGCAGCCGACCAATCACCTGCACTCTCAGGTGAGGGGGCGGGGCCTGGGTGTCTGTGTCATTGTACAGTTAGTCATGAGGAAAACCTTAAACCAAACTTGTAAATAAGCTTTTTAACAGCTGTTTTTACTCCTCAATATCATTTCAGAAATAGTAGTAGTAGTTGGAGTAACCTGACTCTGTGTCTCTGCTCTACAGTCCTCTCTGTGACTGACTCTGTGTCTCTGCTCTCTACAGTCCTCTCTGTGACTGACTCTGTGTCTCTGCTCTACAGTCCTCTCTGAGACTGACTCTGTGTCTCTGCTCTACAGTCCTCTCTGTGACTGACTCTGTGTCTCTGCTCTACAGTCCTCTCTGTGACTGACTCTGTGTCTCTGCTCTACAGTCTCTCTGTGACTGACTCTGTGTCTCTGCTCTACAGTCCTCTCTGTGACTGACTCTGTGTCTCTGCTCTACAGTCCTCTCTGTGACTGACTCTGTGTCTCTGCTCTACAGTCCTCTCTGTGACTGACTCTGTGTCTCTGCTCTACAGTCCTCTCTGTGACTGACTCTGTGTCTCTGCTCTACAGTCCTCTCTGTGACTGACTCTGTGTCTCTGCTCTACAGTCCTCTCTGTGACTGACTCTGTGTCTCTGCTCTACAGTCCTCTCTGTGTCTGACTCTCTGTGTCTGACTCTGTGCTGACTCTGTGTCTGACTCTGTGACTCTGACTCTGTGTGACTCTGTGCTCTGTGTCTGACTCTGTGTCTGACTCTGTGTCTGACTCTGTGCTGACTCTGTGTCTGACTCTGTGTCTGACTCTGTGTCTGACTCTGTGCCTGACTCTGTGCTGACTCTGTGACTGACTGTGCTGACTCTGTGCCTGACTCTGTGTCTGACTCTGTGACTGACTCTGTGACTGACTCTGTGCCTGACTCTGTGCTGACTCTGTGAGTCTGTGCCTGACTCAGTGTCTGACTCTGTGCATCTGTGCCTGACTCAGTGTGCCTGACTCTGTGCCTGACTCTGTGCCTGACTCTGTGTCTGACTCTGTGTCTGACTCTGTGTCTGACTCTGTGTCTGACTCTGTGTCTGACTCTGTGTCTGACTCTGTGTCTGACTCTGTGTCTGACTCTGTGACTGACTCTGTGACTGACTCTGTGACTGACTCTGTGACTGACTCTGACTCTGTGTCCTGACTCTGTGTCTGACTCTGTGACTGACTCTGTGACTGACTCTGTGACTGACTCTGTGACTGACTCTGTGACTGACTCTGTAACTGACTCTGTGACTGACTCTGTGACTGACTCTGTGCCTGACTCTGTGACTGACTCTGTGACTGACTCTGTGACTGACTCTGTGACTGACTCTGTGACTGACTCTGTGCCTGACTCTGTGACTGACTCTGTGTCTGACTCTGTGTCTGACTCTGTGTCTGACTCTGTCTGACTCTGTGCCTGACTCTGTGCCTGACTCTGTGCCTGACTCTGTGCCTGACTCTGTGCCTGACTCTGTGTCTGACTCTGTGTCTGACTCTGTGTCTGACTCTGTGTCTGACTCTGTGACTGACTCTGTGACTGACTCTGTGACTGACTCTGTGTCTGACTCTGTGTCTGACTCTGTGACTGACTCTGTGCCTGACTCTGTGTCTGACTCTGTGTCTGACTCTGTGTCTGACTCTGTGACTGACTCTGTGACTGACTCTGTGACTGACTCTGTGTCTGACTCTGTGTCTGACTCTGTGTCTGACTCTGTGCCTGACTCTGTGCCTGACTCTGTGACTCTGTGCCTGACTCTGTGTCTGACTCTGTGTCTGACTCTGTGTCTGACTCTGTGACTGACTCTGTGACTGACTCTGTGACTGACTCTGTGACTGACTCTGTGTCTGACTCTGTGACTGACTCTGTGCCTGACTCTGTGTCTGACTCTGTGACTGACTCTGTGCCTGACTCTGTGAGTCTGTGCCTGACTCAGTGTCTGACTCTGTGAGTCTGTGCCTGACTCAGTGTCTGACTCTGTGACTGACTCTGTGCCTGACTCTGTGCCTGACTCTGTGTCCTGTGCCTGACTCTGTGTCTGACTTTGTGACTGACTCTGTGACTGACTCTGTGACTGACTCTGTGACTGACTCTGTGTCTGACTCTGTGTCTGACTCTGTGCCTGACTCTGTGTCTGACTCTGTGACTGACTCTGTGTCTGACTCTGTGCCTGACTCTGTGTCTGACTCTGTGTCTGACTCTGTGACTGACTCTGTGTCTGACTCTGTGTCTGACTCTGTGTCTGACTGACTCTGTGCCTGACTCTGTGACTCTGTGTCTGACTCTGTGCCTGACTCTGTGTCTGACTCTGTGACTGACTCTGTGACTGACTCTGTGCCTGACTCTGTGCCTGACTCTGTGAGTCTGTGCCTGACTCAGTGTCTGACTCTGTGAGTCTGTGCCTGACTCAGTGTCTGACTCTGTGCCTGACTCTGTGCCTGACTCTGTGCCTGACTCTGTGTCTGACTCTGTGTCTGACTCTGTGTCTGACTCTGTGCCTGACTCTGTGTCTGACTCTGTGTCTGACTCTGTGTCTGACTCTGTGACTGACTCTGTGCCTGACTCTGTGACTGACTCTGTGACTGACTCTGTGACTGACTCTGTGCCTGACTCTGTGACTCTGTGTCTGACTCTGTGCCTGACTCTGTGTCTGACTCTGTGACTGACTCTGTGACTGACTCTGTGCCTGACTCTGTGCCTGACTCTGTGAGTCTGTGCCTGACTCAGTGTCTGACTCTGTGAGTCTGTGCCTGACTCAGTGTCTGACTCTGTGCCTGACTCTGTGCCTGACTCTGTGCCTGACTCTGTGTCTGACTCTGTGTCTGACTCTGTGTCTGACTCTGTGCCTGACTCTGTGTCTGACTCTGTGTCTGACTCTGTGTCTGACTCTGTGACTGACTCTGTGCCTGACTCTGTGACTGACTCTGTGACTGACTCTGTGACTGACTCTGTGCCTGACTCTGTGCCTGACTCTGTGCCTTACTCTGTGACTGACTCTGTGACTGACTCTGTGTCTGACTCTGTGTCTGACTCTGTGACTGACTCTGTGCCTGACTCTGTGCCTGACTCTGTGCCTGACTCTGTGCCTGACTCTGTGACTGACTCTGTGACTGACTCTGTGACTGACTCTGTGCCTGACTCTGTGCCTTACTCTGTGACTGACTCTGTGCCTTACTCTGTGACTGACTAAAACAGTATTTTGTTCATTAACTCCATTTCCTTGTTCAGTTTTGATGAATGAGACTGAGCTGAAGTCAATGAGACTGTTCCCACTTCAGCCTCACTCTGCAGCAGCTACTTATGTACACACACCTCCATGCACACACACACACACTCTCTCAAACGCACCCACACATACACACACTTGCGCACACACACTTGCGCACACACACAAACTCTCTGAACTACAATCACACACATACATACACACACAGTCAAACACACAAACAAACTCTCTCAAACACACACACACTCTCTAAGTCAATGGGGCCGTGTGCCATAACTCACACACAAAAATGCCTGCTGTGCAATTTCACACCAAAGCAACACAATGATACAACCATGTGCTGTTTCTAATGAACAGGAGAAGTTACAGGAACGACCATGAAACAAGTCCTGAAGTTGTTTTAATATGATCACATGTCTATAAGCAACTATATTATTTAAAGAATATATATATTTTTACCCATTTGCATCTCTGTACAGTTCCCATCATATTCCAAAAAGTAAACAAAGATAGGTTTTATAAATTGAACTTACATGTTAATTGACAGAAATTCATATTATACAATGTTATGCAGTGGTTTTTACATAATGCTTTTTGGACACTCAAATGCATTTCGCAATATTGTTTTACTTCGTACAGAGTGGTTATAAGCTTCTACCGTAACCACAGCTGCCCTGGGGCAGACTGACGGAAGCGAGGCAACCATTCTGTGCTATCGACCCCTCCCACCACCACCAACCATTCACACGCACACACACACACGCACACACACACACGCACACACACCAGGATCCTGGCAATGTGGCTGGAGGACACAACAGCAGTTTATGGCACTTTACAGCCACCTGGTGTTCCCAGAGGCCTCCCATCACAGTACTGACCAGGCCCTGCCCTGCTTAGCTTCTGACTTATAGTAATAACTTTGATGAAACAAATATCTTATCATATATAAGAATGACCACTTTAAATAGAAATGTGTATCAAATATAAATGCTCTAATCTGCCATTGTGTCCTTGGGCAAGACACTTCAGCCACATTGCCTAGAATGAGTCTGTTGTGTGTGTGAATGGTTGGTGGTGGTCGGAGGGGCCGATGGCACAGACTGGTTGCCTCGTTTCTTTCTGTGTGGCCCAGGGCAGCCGTGGCTATAGTAGTAGTTTATCACCACCGTGTATGGAGTGAAAGAATAATGTCATGTCTTTGAGAGTCCAAAAAAGCGCTCAATAAAACCGATGCACTATTCTTATTATTTTTAAATCTACTAAAACTATTAAACATTTAAGATTTGTAAATTGACGGACAGCAAACTTGGTTCCCATGGCCTCAGCGCAGGCCTATATTTTGCCCTGAAGCTCAGAATAATGTCCTGGTTCAGTGCAGAACAACTGTGTTTTCACTGCGGCGTGTGTGTGCACCTCAAAACGTCCCAGGCCAAAACCAGTCACTTCCAAACTCTCCAAATTTCAAATAAATTGGATTTTAATGAGGGCTTGAGGGAAGAGAAGTTGACTAAAACGGTGGTAACCCGGGGCAACAGAGGACGCCTGTGTGCTTGAATGTTCCTCCTGTGAGTTGTGCGGTGGCTGGTGGATTTTTGTGGGTTCTTTCTGTCGCACAAAGGTTAGGTATGACAGCTCTGCCTTGAAAAGATGAATTATATCGGAAAAAAACCAAAATGGCACTTTGTTTCTTTGATTCTGACTGGGTTATACGTCTTTTTGGTGCAGGCAGAGGGAGTTAGGCGACGGCTGTAAGTGCTTTGACAAAGGAGTTCAAAGGCATGCTAATGGGACAAGGCTTTAATTCACAAATATCACTGAAGTCACGAGTGCAAAAGAGTCCAATCATGGTTCGTTTAGTAAAACAAGCCACAAGTTTGGGGTTTTGTGGACTTTTTTATGTTTATGAAAGAACAAAAAAGGTATAAACATACGAATAGACTGCGGTATCTGTCAATCAACCTTAT